TATATATATATATCCTTGGATTTTTCATTTGAACAATGTGCTTTTTCGCATCGCGTGATTTATTTAGAACCTATTGCAGAACATAACTCCTGCTACAGTAGTTCTAGAAGCGGCCCTTCTAGTTTCGATATTGTCCGTTGGTAGTGTAGACTTCCATGATGTGAGCTGTTACATACCTGAAGTAATTAGTGTAGCTATTAGATCCTCCATGACTTATCCTTTATGAAATGGGGATCCTGTTCCTCTACAGAATGGGTTACCCACTTCATAAAGGGTTGGGGACTCGGGAATAGAGGATTTTAGTAAGATGCCTAGGTTGGCAGGTCATTCTATAAAATAACACAGGTTTGGAGGCACATCAAGAGTGTGAGCACAGAAAAGCATCTATGTCAATCTATGTGGACTGCGGTCAAGTCATTTCATAAACACTGCCTGTCTGGTTTAGAGCAAGCTCTTTTCCAGCAAGAGCTTTGGAACAACACGATTCACCAAACTCCGGCGCAAGTCATGGAAAAAGGGATTCTTCAGAGTTTGGCTAAGTCACTTTATAAAAGCTGGGATTTGAGTATATGATGCGATCTTAAATCTTGTGTGTTTGGTTGTGTCATTAAAACTCTTGTGCTTGGTCTCTCCTCCGTTGCCTGCCTTTTTTCCAGCTGGTCAGTAACTCAATTCAAAAAATGTTGGTATTTCCATTTTATAGCACTATATTTTTATAAGTTGCAGAATTCACAGGGCAAGGCATAAGGTAAGGAGGATGCTATTAGTGATGTGACACTGTAGGCTTTGATTGTTCCCTTTGGGTTCCGAGGACAAGAGCCGCCGACGGCATGGCCTTCAGTCACTGAGCTGCCTGGTGGAGGCACGAAGCCGATGTGAAACATGTACGAAAAAGCTCGAATCCATCAAGTGCGGATTGAGATCGCACTACTAGCGTCCTTTGCTCCTAGTAAGGCCAGGAGTCCTAGTATCGTCTTGTTCCTGGAAGCGGTGCGTCCAAGAGTTCAGGTGCCCAAGGAAGACTTGCCACAGATGCGTTGGAAGGATGACTACGAAGAGGCGAAAAGAGATGAAAAGATGACTTGTCGAAGACTTCGAAGTGGTCCTGTTTTCACCGCATGTCGGAAGGCCCACCGACAGAACCGCCGCCAACTTCCCGAGGACATGCGGCCGGAAGTGTTAGGGCACCAAGATCATTCCCTTGCAAGACGACCCAAAGATCAAGTGTGAAACGGTCTGAAAGTCTGAAAGTGCTTATAATGTAATTGGATGTAATTGGTTGATGTTCATGATGATTGCAACGGACAATCAATCAAAATTTAAATTATTTCGCCTTAAGATCTTGTAAGTAGTAATGGCGCCACCAAACGTGCCGCCCCAGCGTGCAAACAGCCATTTGAGGGTGGACTTAACCCACGGGAACAATGTGTTCAGACCCACCCGAAGAATCAGCGAACTGAGGATTCAATCCAGCTATACTATGGCCTCAAGCCAAGACAAAACCGACTTGATGCATTCCGTGTTGTGAAATGCCCGAGTGGCACTTGTGGTGACCGAAGTTGAGGTCGTGAACTCCAAACCAGAGCTCCTGGGATGTGCTGCGCATTGGAATCCTTTCCACTCGCAGACCTTTGCTTGGGTCGATGCAGGTGTGGCTAGGCGCACCCGATCGAACGCCTTGACAGCCCCGAGATGAAAGTGAGCTCAAACGGATGTATAAAAGGGTTCTTCGGACAAGGCTATTAGGTGGAGGCCGTCTCAAACAGATAAGAAAATGAACGCTCAAATTTCTCTAAACGGATTCTTTGGGTTTTCCAAGGCCACGAGACGGTTCTCACAGTTGGTTCTTTCATGTGTCAAAACGGCAATTTACCCTTCGGTTATGGTCACGGACTTATGTCACAGCGGTATGAAAACAAGTTGCACCGCTTCACAGCGAGCTCCTCACCGAGGGAAGGAAAGATTGACAACGGCTTTCCAGGTGCAAAACTCAGTTCGACGGCAGTTTCATTCCCCTTTTTACCGCATAAGAATGTTCAATCGAGTCAATCTGTCTAAAGTTCTCAGGCAAGCAAAGTGATAGTTGATAGATGTTGATAGTTTCCATCAGTATTTTTACTTGCCAAGCGAGAAACGACGGAAGATGGTCAGACTCACGAAGGGAACGATATTCGTCAGACCACGCGGGTGACCGAAGCATATCGGTTCGATGACGAAGCGTCGGTGACGGTGACCGTCGGACACCCCAAATCGCTCGACAGATTCGACTGAACATCTCGGAACCCGGGCGACGGGCAACGGGCGATGGCATGTGGAATGTACTGGCTTTGCTGGCCTTGGCATGCACAGAGGCCCCAGCTGCATTGAGATGATCAAGTGTCAGTCATTTTTGCTCTAGGGGATTGACCGGAACTGTTCAACCACTATGTGTTGCTACAGCTTCAATGCAACCCCAATCGATTATTAGTAAAGGGAACTGGGGAGCAGGAACCGGTGGACAAAAACGGGAGCAGGAACTGGGGCCCAGAGCAGGCAGGAAGAAAGTGCATCAGAACAAAAACGTCGTTCCCAGCACAAAGTCGTGCTGCTAAGTCTGTACAAACACCTGCCACGGTATTGGTCCTAGTAAGGTTGCTGCGAAGAAAGAATGAACTGTAACAGCAACAGACAGCGCACCACAAGCGCAACGCACGCAAACATCCTGCTGTGCAACTGCCTGCCTGTTGCCTTGCGGCGCATAAACGTGTTTTGCGCGGCAGCTGTTGCCCGTGCAGAAACGCCCTGCTAGGTGCACGCAAGCCTGCGGCATTGCTGCGCAAAGCGTTATGGCGTGTAGAGCGAATGCTCTGCATGGAGGCTTAGGGCAAACCACCAAGAAAGACTGCTTCGTAACGTCCGGCACATGGCACACCACGAGCGGACAAGCTGTTGTGGTTGCGGAATACCACAGGTCCAAAAGGTGCTGCCAGCACAGAAACCTTCCGGCGATGTATATATGCGCAACTGCCTGTGGCCTTGCTGCGCACATACAACACGTTTTGTGCTGCGATGAGAGACTGAGACTGAGGCGTCCTGCTAAGTGCAGGCAGCCGCCTGTGGCAAAGATGCGCCTAGAACTCTACAAGTGCAAAAGCTGTTGCCGGTGCAGGAACGCGCTGCTAAGTACATGCAGCTGCCTATGGCATTGCACAAAAAATATCAGAGTATGCTCCGCAATGGAGAGTGGAGGCACACCGCCACTGCAAAAGCTGTCGCCGGCCAAAAAATGCTGCTAGGTACAAGCACAGACTGCGTCCTGCGGGAACAAGATACTTGCTCGGCTTGGAAGGGCTGCTTCGTAGCGGCGACGCGTAGCACACTACGAGCGAAAAAGCTGTTGCGGTTGCAGAAACACCCTGCTGAGTACATGCAACTGCCTGTGGCATGCAGCGCGTCCAACTTTTTGGCATCGGCGCGCAGAACGGAAGTTCTGCAACGGAGGCGAAACGCACACCACAAGTGCAAACCGTTCTTTGAGGTACGCGCAACTACCTGTGGCCTTGCTGCGCATACGACATATTTGGCGCTGCGACGAGAGATTGCTTCGTAGCGGAGACAGAAAGCACGCTACTCGTGCAGAAGCTGATGCCGTTGCGGAAACGCCCCGGCACGACGTTGGAGGTGCCATTCTGAGCGTAGCTCCTGACGGCAGCAAGGGTTTCAACACAACCCAACTGTGCCCATATTCAATGACAACGCAGGCCAGGTTAGCCTCAAACCCGGTCAAAATCTAAAGTGTAAACGATCAGGTTCCAAGGTGGGGCCCTAAGCATTGCCACCAAAATCTCACAATGTGTTTACTGTTTGGTCCCGAGCGCAGCACGCGAGAACTCCGGCTTTCAAGCCATGTCAATTCCACAGAGCACCGAATTTTGCGATGGAATTCCGGTTTGCAAGCCCTGTCGACAGACTGCCCAGCGCCCGGGGTTCCAGACTGTCACGATGGAGTTCCGGTTTCAGACCGCACACCAGGATGGGATTCTGGCTTTGGAGCGATGTGGACAAATTGCACGCCGCTCCAAGCCCTGACAGCGCCCAAGATTCCAGACAGCACGCCACAGTTTGAGGATGAATTCAAGAAGCACCACTCCCAACCCAGACACCAGGATGCCGCCGTGAACAAACAACTGAGATTGCAGTTAGCCGTCCGTTCTCTCTCCTTTTCATCTTCTTATGTAAAGCTTTAGAAATCAAGCACATACGCATACACACACATACTTGTCAACTATATACAGTTTTTGGCCTCCTCTGCTCTACTCCACTTAGTTGCCCATGTTCAATGACAAAGCCGGTCGGACCAGCTTAAAAACCGAACAAACTGCAAAAAGTCAAAGTGCAAAGAGATCACGGAAGCCAGGGTCCAAGGCGGGACACAAAGCGCTGCCACCAAAATCAAAGCCTGCAGATATTTCCGATATGTTTGTTTCTTTGCTCTGCCACCCAATGCGGCACACAATCCCGTTCACGGACTCACGCCCCCCCAAAGTTCCAGACAGCTGCAGACAACTGCGCGCCACTCCCAGCCCAGACAGCGCCCAAGGTTCCAGACAAACTGCGCAACGCTCTCAGTCCTAACAGCACGCAAGGGTCCAGACAGCGCCCAGGGTTTCGGGACGGAATTCCGGTTTTGGAGCCCCGCAAACAAACTGCGCGCCACTCCCTGCCCCAGAGATTGAAACCCCATTCTGCTGTTGGAATTAGATGCCGGCGTGTCCAAGAATCTTCAAACCTGGTATAAAGGACAAAGATTAGAGAGTCAGTGGATGGGGCTTGCTTGCTCAAACTGCTGCATTGATCATGTGGCCAAGACCGAAGTTTCAACCCATTCTGAACACCGGGACGACATGGGTGTTTTTAGGCTCAATCTTCTGACACGTCCAGATGTTCCGGCGATCAATTTTCTGGTGACGACATCATCGAACTTCAATGCCTGCTGGATCCTGACTTGCAGCTGACAGCCCTCATTGGTCACGGAGAGAGTGGATATGTTTGGAGGGGCAGGACATATTGGCGAAGCGACACATGAAAAACAAGTGTCATAAGTTTATGGCGAATCGTAGGTTGATGTGAAGTTTGGAAAGAGAGTTGTTCAAGTACGATATTGTTACAACTGGTTGGTGTGAGCACACCGTTGATGTCGTGCAGCAATGTTGTTAGAAGGAACTGCAACATCATGACAATTTGTGGTTCTGTTTGTGCCGGGGGGCCCTAGGGGCTGTCCAACAATAATGTTATGTGGATCTGTTTATTTAACAGTCGGCTGGAATTTAGAGCGGATCAACCAGTGTTTTGCGCCACAAGATTTTTGAGGTCACGAGATACCTGAAAGTGGAGCGTTCATCATGTCACGTGGTGTAACCTCGGTCCTGATCCGTTCGGCCACGCCTGAAAATGATCACCTTACATGAATGGCCTTTTTTGTAAGTACGCAAATTCAACCATGGCTGTCTTCGGTTTGCAACGGCATTTGCGCTGCAAATCCTTTGTGCTTGGACTTGTACTGCTTCGCAGCGCAGGGTGATCGTTCGCTCCTCTTTGCCAAGGCTAAAGAACTGCTTGCAAGTCACCAGATTGAAGCCAGGCGGTTATCTACCTTTCCTTGTTCTTGGTCGAATGCCCCCTCCTCTCTTCTTTGTGGCGTTTACTTCATGGCCCTCTTCTAGTGCTGACGAAAGTAGAGTCGGAGCTCATTGATCGCTCGCGTAACTTCAACGATTCTGACGATTCAATTCGTGTCTTGCTTTCGCTCACAGCATTTGTCCATTTCAGTCAGCATTTTCGCGTTTAGCAGCAGCACAAACTTCTTGAGAAGCCAAACTTGCAGAATCAGCATCGAAGCTTCATATCCTTCACAGACTCCCCAGCATTTTGGATCCGCACAGAGTGTTTCTGGCAAAAGTCCGCGCTCGATATGCTGCAAACTCGCTTTGTTGTTGTCGCTCGTGGCGCAACGTACCCACGACTAAGATGCGATGCCAAAGCAGGTCGTGACAAGGATTTGCCACTGCAATTCTCTAAAAGATGCTTTGCCAGTGTAATTCTCTAACACTCTGTACACCTTTATGCGGATTTGCAGGATGGCCCACAGGGACGACGAAGTCATTGTGAAGTTTCATTGTTGCCAAGAAGAGTGCCAAAATGGGAAGGTGTGTCGCTTGGTAGCGGGATTGGAAGACGGTGTGTCCCAGAGGACTCACTCTGTTTTCCACGCCCTGTTCTTGAAGATACCTCGAGGAATGCTTAAATTGTCGAGGACATGGAGGGCAGGGAGATCACTTTCATATGGTTGCTGTGTGATCTGGTGGTTTTCGCAAGTGTCCACGGAAAATCAAGGGCCTTACTAGTAGTAACAAGAAGCTACTAGGAACAAGTGCATCGCTTCTAGTAACAAGTGCCTTACTAGTAGTAACAAGAATCTATTAGGAACAAGTGCCTTACTAGCAGTAACAAGAAGGTATTAGTAACAATAAGCAAGGGAATGCATGAGGTCCACCAGATTTGGACGAGTGCCCCGTAGGCGAGTGTCCGCCCAGGCAGTGGTGAATCATCCATGGCTGAGCTGCGCTACGAGTGCGAAGCTCCCAGGTAACAAGTTCCAGTTGGCCCATTTGGCGCAAGAAAAGAAATGGTTTCTTTCGGGCAAATCGCATTTTGAAACCCTAACGAAACAAAGGATGAACACCATAGGCTTCCCGAGAAACAACCAACTTCTATCATACGTTCGCATGATATGGGGCTCAAAGTACAAGGATGAAGGGACAGGAGCCTCTTGTGTCTTTCCTGATCTAATCTGTCATCTTGCTACGGTCCTGCTCTTTAGGGCGGAATGGGAGAGAAGCCTTGATGAGCCAATTGGAGCCAACATGCCTTTATCATGACAGGAACATTTTGCATCATAGGAGCTCACGTATTCCATATGCTTGGGTCATACCTGGTTAAAAACCTATGACACTTCAGCCAAGGGACGCAAACGATCCCGGCGACCAATCACTTTCAGACGGAAACACATGCAAACACTTAAGTCCATTGGTCTTGCGCCTACCCGCTTGAAATGAGGCTGGATTTGAAGCATTTCAACGAGCTCCGGATTTGGTGGCAGCTTGCTTGGACGACCCGAAGATGAAGCCACCTAAACCCTTTATAGTCTTGAAGGATGCTCCTTCGTTGCACTGAGAAGCCTGGAGTGACGGCAAGTTTGCAAGAGTCTTCTTGTTTGCAAGAGTCTCATTGCTAGGCTTCGCGCATGAAATTGGCACTGAGAAGAATACTACAATTTCTGTTCAGGTTGGCAGCTACTTTCGCGCGCAATCCTTTGTGACAGACTTTCTGGCGGATGATCAACGAAGCAATCACACCCTCTTACGTCAAGTCTTGCGAGCAGTGCCGAGACTCTGTGGTTTTTTTGGTGCGCTTCCACACAAAAAGACATCATGATCATGAAGGCATTTGATTCCAAAGATGAGAATGACACCACAGGAGCTGGCGTTGACATGCTGGACATGTCTTCCAAAAACGAACGAGACGTTGTAATACCAAATCATAGTGCAGACCTGCACCTTAGAGGCCGTTGGCCAGACCAGATCATGATGGGTACTTGACCAATTTGACGGTCATGATTGTGCTGATTGTGTTATGGATGTTTGACGATGTTTGCGTTCCACAGTGTTTCATTGAGCTCCCAGGTGCACGCTTTCCTGGTTCCAAGGGATGGCCGTTCACTGGTGCATATGGACTTGACCATGGCGAACATCATGTGGGATCCAAAGACCTTGGCTGTGTCACTTGGGCTCTGAATTGACGCATGTTGACGTAAATTGAAGGCGTTTGTACCTCCAAAGCTCCAAAGATGCCGAGCGACACTTGTTCTTCAACCCTGGCCTTAGGTGACTTGTTTTGATGAAATGTGTTCCATTTGGTCTAGGCCGCTAGGCCCGAGTGGAGAGTGTTGGGGCTGAGGCAGCTGATCGACTTCAGTCAAGTCGAGTTCTGCAAGACCCTCATGTGGAACAGGGCAAGCCCAATGCCGGGGAGGTGCATTCCAAAGCAATTGCTGAAGGATCTCAAGCAGCTTGGCAAGTCGAAATTCCAACGCAAGCTCTTGCAGAGAGTCGGTTGGAGGCTATCCTACCAGGTTGCAGGCCATCGCTAGTATAGGTTCCGGGCCATCGCTAGTAGGTTGGAAGCCAACGCTTCTAGGTTGGAGGCCATCGCTAGTATAGGTTGGAGGCCATTGCTAGTAGGTTGGAGGCCATCTCTAGTAGAGTGGAGGCCATCACTAGTATAGGTCGGAGGCCAACGCTAGTATAAGTTGGAGGCCTTTCCTACTATAGGTTGGCGGTCATGGCTAGTATAGGTTGGAGGCCTTTCCTACTATAGGTTGAAGGCCATGGCTAGTATAGGTTGGAGGCCATCGCTAGTATAGGTTGGAGGTTTTTCCTACTATAGGTTGGAGGCCATGGCTAGTATAGGTTGGAGGCCATCGCTAGTATAGCTTGGAGGCCTTTCCTACTATAGGTTGGAGGCCTTTCCTAGTATGGATGAAGGCTATCACTATAGTAGGTTGGAGGCCATGGCTAGTATAGGTTGGAGGCCATCGCTAGTATAGGTTGGAGGCCTTTCCTAGTATGGTTAAAGGCTATCACTATAGTAGGTTGGAGGCCATGGCTAGTATAGTTCGGAGGCCATCGCTAGTATAGGTTTGAGGCCTTTCCTACTATAGGTTGGAGGCCATGGCTAGTATAGGTTGG